GTCAAGGGCAATAACTCTGAAAATACTAAAAATATCCAGACCAAAATACCCAGGTGCACAACTACACATGCTGATCAATTTTCCTGTAAAGTTTCATGACTCCAGGTCAAATACTTTTTGAGTTATGTGCGACACAAGTTGAAAATTGCAAAATTTTACTAAGTCAAGGGCAATAACTCTAAAAATACTAAAAAATATGCACACGAAAATACCCAGGTGCACAACTACACATGCTGATCAACATTCCTGTAAAGTTTCATGACTCTAGGTCAAATACTTTTTGAGTTACATGCGACACAAGTTGAAAATTGCAAAATTTTACTAAGTCAAGGGCAATAACTCTAAAAATACTAAAAATTTTCAGACGAAAATACCCAGGTGCACAACTACACATGCTGATCAATATTCCTGTAAAGTTTCATGACTGTAGGTCAAATACTTTTTGAGTTACATGCGACACAAGTTGAAAATTGCAAAATTTTACTACGTCAAGGGCAATAACTCTGAAAATACTAAAAATATCCAGACCAAAATACCCAGGTGCACAACTACACATGCTGATCAACATTCCTGTAAAGTTTCATGACTCTAGGTCAAATACTTTTTGAGTTACGTGCGACACAAAAGTGAACGGACGGAAGGACGGACGGACGGACAAGGGTAAATCTAAATGCCCGCCACTAACGTGGGGGCACAAAAATGGTCACATAACCTTGAATAGTGGCAGAGTGAATTAATCTGTTACAAATACAATTCTATTTACAAACTGGACATCCTACCTTGATAGGAATTAAATCAGCATCAACTTAATGACAATCAAATTTGCTTTAACTCTAAGCACGCTGGCAACGACTGAATCTACCCATGCAACCAGTGTCACATATGCCATCTGATATTACGGTCTGCACTGTTTTTCGCTATTCAGTCGGTAAATATTTGGAAATTTTCCCTAAAAATTATGAACTGAAAGATGGACAAATCCATTTAACATATTTAGTGTAGTTCATCAACAAATCAAAATGTTAACTTTTATCTTGGTCTTATCAGCAGATTTTCTATGGGACATCATTCTTCATTACCACAAAGTCTTCAGATATTCAAACTATCAATTTCATTGAAACCATTCAGCAAATGGACAGAACTGTCAATTTCTAAAAGTATGTGTGGCAATTGCCTTACTGTGCATTATAACAGGCATGACCGGGTACTTGAGTAGAACCACCATTAATCTGTAAGCTAGCTGGATAGCTTCCTCACATATCACAAGACTCATATCCACAACGATGAGGGTCATGTGATTTGAAGTCAACCACATTAACCTTTCGGCCAAGGAAACTGCAAACTTTCAAACCCACTGCCTAAGCACCTGTGAAGAAACCACAATCTGTAATCTAACTGGATAGTTTCCTCACATAAAAGATATCCGAAGTACTTCTAGGGACAAATACCCACAGCAGAGGGGCAAGTGATTTAAAGTCAACAACCTTAACCACTCAGCCACGTGTGCTGCAAACTTTAAAACCCATAACCATAAAATGGCTGTCATAAATTCATCATAGGTAAGTTGGGGTCTGTACCCTCAGTGCCTCAAAGGGTGGACACACACACATATCATAGTAAAGAATGTCAAAAAAGCCCATATAATCCCTCAACAGTCTTCTTTCTCTAAATACAGACAGACAGATAAACCATGAAACTATGTCTTGTTCTTGTTGAAGCACCATACCTTATCCCTGTTTACAATAGTTGATAAAAAAATCCACTTCAATATCAACAAACTTACCAATTTACTGACAAACACTGGTGTCCTGTTGTAGGCAATATCCCTGTATCATAATAACACAGTCGTAAGATAGGGTCAAATATTCAAACACTTCATAGTTTTTGTTTCAATGTAAAATCTTTAAAACAAATTTATAAATAACCAGTAAATTGTGTAATGCTTTCTTGACCTGCTGTAATAATGTGTTGGCCTGCAACAATCCAATAGATTTATATAGTTTTACAGACTTTGTCAGATGTTTTGGTTTACTGTTTATCAACATATACAAGGTTAGTAAGATGTTTTCACTAAATACATTAAACCCACAATGTTTTTGCCATACCCTATCAAAACAGCTGCCCTGAATAAGTTGTTGCATTTTGCCCTGAATTAATCACTGCATTGTATCCTGAATTAATTGCAGCATTTTGCCCTGAATTAATCACTGCATTTTGCCCTGAATTAATCGCAGCATTTTGCAATATCATGCAATAGCCTCCTACATCTGATCACTATGATAAATCAAAACAATTAATCATAATAATAAATCCAATCTCTTACTCTTTACAATACATTATAAATCAAATCTTAATCATTTTACCTGTCTCATTTCACTTGATAACCATATAATAACTATAACCATTATTAATAGGTAAAACAAAATCTTGTATGAATACATCTTGCAAAATTGTCAACAACAAAATAAAACAACCACAAATTAATTATTAAAATTTTTTTTTGTGGTAAACCTATCATGTTTCGAATGGCAAAAAACCCTCAATCAGTCTGAGACAGAAACAGCATCCGGAAAAAACGACAGCTTACATAAGCACACACTGGGCTGTAAATCATTGAAGACCAAAGGAGGAAAAAACTATTATGGCTTTTCATAACTTCCCAGTAACAATCCAGAATGACGCTGCAGAATTTCTGCTCCTACCGTCAACTTATTTCCATTTCTTTTTTTTGTCATCGTCAAGTTATTTCTAGGAATTCGAAAATTTCTAATTAATAATTCTGTCATAGAATTTAATAAGCGAAAATGTTTTCTGTCATAAACAGAGGAAATATAATAATGCCTGATTTGGGGACTGTAATTCGAGACACAGCTCAGCTTTCGAACATTGTTATTGTAATATAATAAACTAAATCGTAATTAACTCTAAGCCTTCTAGTGGCAGCTGAATACACTCTCATTGCAACCAGTGCAGCAATGGGCAGCGTTGGCCTAGTAGTTAAAGTGTCTGCCTCTCAACCCTGGGATCATGGTTTCGAGCCCTGACACCACTACTTGTTGGTTCCAGGAATCGGACTTGATAGTGATTAATATAAGTTGCAAATACTTGTTTCACACTGTACCTCTGCTTTGTTAATAGTTCTTTGCGAAAGTGAAGGCAACTAGTTCTGGTCAACTGCATGACAACCTGCCTGACTGAACTGTGCTCTGGTAAATTCAATGTGGCTAATACTGCTATGATCCGCAACACGAGCACTACCGTCACTTTCTACTACAGCACACCAGTTTTCCCATATCAAAAAATAAGGATTCGAAAGAAATTAATAAACCCTGTAGACAGTTTACATTATTTCAAGATAATTCTTCATTGCCATAAAATCAGGGACATAATTATCATCATCAAGTTTCATGCTTCCAACTTCCTCAAATTTACAATCATGATACTCATTATTCAGTTAAATGTTAAATGCCTGTTAAAATAGTGCCCTATATGTAGCAATAGTACACAGTATCTGAAACTAATGATTTACTTAATAAAATGTCTTACCATATTTCTGACACGATCAAACAAGATTGGTTCTTGATTTTTACCTAGATATTATTACAAGGAAGTATCATTTTTTAACAGATCTGTATAACAAATCAAATGACTTGACCTAGTGACATGATTTCAGACATTTGATAATCTATACCCAACATTGGCCCTTAAGATGTTATTACACCAAGTTGACACTTTCACACACATGTATACATGAACTACAAAAGAACTTCTATGAGTCAAACTGTCATATCAAAGTCCTCAATGCGTCAAAGTAAAAAAGAAAATCTCGATTTCCCTCTATATATTCGTAATAAAAACCTATTTAATCAGCCAAACTGTTTACAAAAGATAAGTCAATGTGTAATGCTTAATTTCGAAGCTGTAACTGTAATAGTTTGTTTGTACCTCTGGCTCTACTGAGAAACCCCCAACATATTCTTAATTCCAGAGTAAGTCTATTGCCATATGATGTAAAAATAAACTCCTCCATTATGGATACTTTGTCTGATGAAGATATATACTCTGATGAAGATGTATACTCTAAATGTTAGCGAAGGACCCGCCACAAAGGACCCGGTGTGGCGCTATATTATCACACTGATTGTATTTACTCTAATCTGATTAAGTCATAATATCACCCTTTCCTTTTGTTACACCTTTTGTGACCAGCATCTAAAATATGTGCAAGACCTTTAACTTTCATTTAACCCAGAAACCCATTTTTTCCCCACCTTCATTTTAAGTCTTCTGACTATTGCCCTTTCCTTTAGTTACACCTTTTTTGTACAACTACTAAAATGCTTGCAAAACATTTTTCTTTCATTTGACCCAGAAACCATTTTTTTCTGCACTTTTATAAAAGTCTAAAGACTTATATGGCTTTTCGATTTTATGCATGCGCACATTCCAAGAATGTCATGACGATTGGATGTGAACAGTGCCCTCTAGAGATTAAACAGACTAAATGACACATGACACATGTCTGCTAGTAGATGACCTCACTTCATGATCAACATTACAAAATTCTGCCGAGTAAGCATAAAAATCGCATTCTTGATAACACGATAAAATTGTGTATATCCCTAATTAAAAATCTCTCAATTAATTCAGTATTGCAATGAAACCAAGAAAATATTTCTTTAGTTCTTTTGCAATTAAGAAGTTTTTTACCTCTAAATGAAATTAAACACAGCAAACTAAAAGGAAACAGTACAAAAAGTGTTCCAATTTTCATCTCATCAAAAAGAGAATTAAATCATGTTGGACAATAAAATAATAATAGAATATTTAAAGATGCTGTGTATTTTTTCCCCATTTTTCATTTTCTGTGGCTTAGAGATTATTTATCTTGGCTGCTTTCTGGTTTCGAGATTATTTTTTTTTCTCTTTTGATCATGTGACTGCCAATAACGCAGCAAGCCTCATCAGTCAAGCTAGTCAAGCAGGGGGAGATTACTTACATTGATCTGGCATCGGAGTACAGTTCCTTGCCCGAGTCATCAGTCAGTGTCTTCGGTGTCACTCGAATTGTAATGGAACACACCGACGTCTTTGCCAAAAGTCCGTCAAGTATATCGATGTACACGTTCACTGAAATTATACGAAAAAGGAAACGGGCTTTAACTACAGCACATATTCTTGTTCTACAAAACAATCAATGCAGCCTAAAAGTCTGCAAGACAGAGAAAGTTATTCTCAGAAATGGCTGTTTTTGGTCAACCATAAATCCGATATTTATCATTCTACATATTAGATTAATATAATATATATTGTAATCAATTGAAGACCCATACTATGCTTGTATTACAATTTCTACTTTAAAGGAACTCCACAGAGGTCCAAAAATCCCTAAAATTATAATGTGACTTTCTTCTGTAGATTACCTGGGACACTTAAAAATAGAAAAGATACGCAAAAGGTAATCAAAAATTATACTCAGATATAAATAGAATATTGTATTTTTGTGCTAGTCCTAGACATATATTGGATAAAAACATTGAAATGCTTTCCAATTATTGGTAAATAAATTAAAATAATTATGAAAAATATACTGCCGGAACCATAATGCATCATGATATATATATAAAAGTAAATAAGTGACTGTGCTAATTTTTGATCCAAGTATTTAATATAGCCAAAAGATTTTTTTCATAAAAATGCTTATTTACCAATGTTTTTCTCCAGCACCTCAAAGCTTATATATAACTGATGAGTCAGTGACCCCTGGAAGATTTTACATATTAAGCCATTCAATCCATTTATAGGTATTTCACTCTTATAACACAGCCAGAATCCACCCACCAGTTCTCATTAGAGACTCAGCAACAAGTCACTTTATTAAAAACATCATTAATCCTCTGAAACACTTAGAGAGGACAAACACGATTTGCTAAATTAAAACACCATACAGTATACAGCCATAGAACAGCGTGCACATCCACACCATTTCACCGGATACAGCATTGCTGGCTTAGCAATAATGTCATTTTCTAATTAAAATCTTTATAAAGTAGAAGGTTTGATAAAATATTCCCTAAAAACCAGCTGAAATTATTCTAACAGCTTTATGAAAAGAAAATAATTCATTTATATGATTGTGCAATTAGTGAATGTTTTAACAAAATTTAAAATAAAATCCCAATTTTCTTATGGATGTTACCATACTAAAATTTCCCAACTTACAAAACATTCATTTCAAATAAGGAAAAAAAAAAGAAATAATATTAAAAAAAACTTAAAGTACCTCAAACAGTAAAATACACCAACTATCAAGAAAAAAACCTCCCAAAAATAACCATACTGTACCCAAAAAAATTATCTAAATTACATATCCGAAAATCAGATATCACTTTACCCACATTTGAGAATATTTCTCATTTCTTTTTATGATACATGCGGGGATATACCATAATAAAGTCTCTTGATTTTATTTGACATCTTTATAGTATTCAAACCTTTCTCCATACTTTCTGTACAGAATAATGATTCTACAATATCTGATTTTTTTCCCTTCTTCATTTTCTTTTAGGAGGCTAAGTGAAATCAATCAAGGAATTATGAGTTTTTTTTTCCTTCTTCTTTTCTTTTTTCCAGTGATATAATCAGAAAACTTTTACTTTTAGAAAGATTGCTTTTATTTTATTTGCCCTGGAATATAAACTTGGTTTAATGAAATTTATTTACAATCTTGTAAACCGTATTTTCCAGTCCTCATCCTTAGGTATAAAGCAAACACCTGCTCTGAATAGACCTTTGCCACCAGTAAAAGGACCAGGCCAGCCTGCACATTCTTTCTTTCTGACAGACCAAGTACTACAGTAATGATATAGTTTTTGTTTTTAGATATGGAAATCCAATTTGAATACAGAAACAATTTTATCAAAGAATATTAAATTTATTATCAAGAAAATGCAAGTTATTTTTTGGCTTACAAAGGCTTGATGGTTCCTCTTGAGTGCAAGATTTGGCCTGAACTTCAACATCACAAAGTAAACTAATGACTAATGATGACTTTGCATTCAAAAATTCCTTAACCTGCTGAATTTCTCAAATGAACTTGACCAACATCTGTTTTTGGGACTGTCTATTATTAATTTTAAGGAAATCAAGACAAAATATAAAATCAGTCTGCCTAGCCTGATTTTACACTGGAGGCAAAGGGCTTATCAGTTCCATGTGGTTATCTGTTTAAATAAATCATTCAGCGACCATACAAGATTTCACTATTTACTCCTCAATAAGATCTTACTTAAAACTGATCGATGACATCTGAAAGCTATTATTCTATGACTTACTTTTCTATTAAACTGTGACAAACTTCATCAAATGTCACCTAAATGTCAACTCTTATCTAAGGATGTTTCATTTTCAAAATTACTTTTTTAAATTAGTTTCTTGAAAATGAAATATATCATATTATTTAATTTTACCCATGAAATATGGTGCTATATCAGTCAAATATATTTCATATTTTTTAAAAATAAATATGAAATATAAATATGAAAGTGGGCGGAGTCAAAACTCATATTTATTTTACGGAACTTCTTTTGCCGTTTTGTTTGAAAAAAACTGATAAATACAAAACAACTTTTTCTTGAATTTTGTTTGTAAAACTATCTAGAATGATAGAAAATGGTCTAACTAAGAAAATTAATCCGAACGCCAATATCTTTAATTCAGTAGTTAACGCTGTACAGACGTTAAAAGAGTTGTTTACACGACGTCACAATGTAGCGCCAAACAGCGCGTGCTTACGCATAAATTACTGCGCGCTGAACAATTGCAGTTGGTAGCAAGCAAGGGGTTTCGTTACCATTTTCTTTGATGATGAAATTAAATAAAAAGGTTATTTTTTCGTTTTTCGTGAAATATGGTGTATATTTTCACTCAACATGATAAAATGCCACATATTTTCACACCGGCTCGTGAAAATATGTGGCATTTTATCATGTGTCGTGAAAATATATTCCATATTTCAAGCAAACGAAAAAATATCCTCTTAATAATTTTTCACATAATATATATATATATATATTACATTTTTTAATATCTCAGTATCACAGAACAACAATATCATATGATATAGATACAAGATAAAAAATATTACCAATTTACATGTAAGCTTACCTGCAAAAACTATTTTTTTTATTTATTTGGTACCTTAGGAATATATGTCATTACTTTAGTCAGTAAAAACCCAACATCAGTACCGAAATGTATATAAAATTTACAACAAGAAATGCGTGCATGGGATACAGATGTCCCTAACACATGACAATTTTTTCCTCAAAGTACAACCTTCACCTTGACCTGTTTTGGTGACACACCCTCCGACCCTGACTGAAGGGGGTGGGGGCATAAAATAAAAATACCAGTATCACTAATGGAGGTTATCAATCTGACTTTAACAAAGCTGAACGAAAATTGCTTTATAGTATAAGTTTAAGTAGGAAAATCTATTTTTAGTTTCTGTGACCTTGACCTAACACAATCAATCTGAAATTGTTTAAATTAAAGAAATCAATGAAAGTTACCAACATACAAAAGATCTTATCAGTCAATAAATGAAGGTGGTCTCAGATATGATAAAATTAATGTGATAGATAAAATCATAACTGTACTATATCCCAACCACCCCCACAAAAAAAAAATTAAAAAGCATGAAAAAAAGAAAATTGTAAAAAGAAATCACATACATCATACAGTGTACATAACTCACCATTTATATCTAGATTTAATAATTTCATCATTATATCCTCATGTCATCATATCCTTATATGAGTCATATCTCTACTTCATGTTTCGTATCAGTTACAACACACTTATCATTAAAAAAAATTGAAAAAAAAAAAAAAAAACATCTCAATTTCATCAAAATCAGTTTTTACATTTAAAATTTGCACCAAAAAAGGTAAGTTTATATCATGGATACATAGCATGTGCGACTTTTTTCAACCTCTCTAAACCAAGTAATACTTAATATAAAACTTGTCCTGCACCATGGCTTGTTTTAATGATATTAAGTCAACACAGAGCTACAAACAACTTTATATAAAGAAAGATCAGACTATGCCTGGTTTCAAGTCAATAACTCGACACTGAGCAAAAGATGACCCTGTATAAAATAACATGAAGCTGCACCAACATGCCAACCGCCCTTGACAACAATATATAGCATAGGTCTACCCTTTATCCCTGCTAGAATTATACAATGCTATTGTAAGCAATTGTTATGCATCCGACTTTCAGGGTTTATTTACTGATCAGAATCTCAGTGGCTGAGTGGTTAAAGTCCCAGACTTTTGAACACTCACCCTTTATAGATTTGATCACTAATCTGGCATGCTTACACTGTTTTACTCAGATGCCCGTTGTTTGATCTATAAGTAATGATCAAGGAACCACTTTAGCTTTTCCTTACAGTGCTTAATCATTTGTCACATAAATAAACACATGGGATTAATGAAGGTTTGTCCAAGAGTGGTCTTTATCAACATGGTCGTCTTTATTCGGATGAGGTTTTTAACACAAGTTTTACTTATAAGAATACCAAACAACTGAGAAAGTCAATCATACTCTAAAACCCTACCTAAATACATGAAGATGCATACAACTGTAGCCAATATGTGAAACCCACACCTATACTTGTGTATGACATAAAACCCATGCTGATGTCTTTAGGGTTTCACCAACAACAAAAATCCTACCTACTTGCCTTTAGGGTTTCATCATTAACAAAAATCCTACCTAAATGCTTTACAGTTTCATCTACAGTTTCATCAACAACAAAAATCCTACCTAAATGCTTTAGGGTTTCATCATTTATAAAAATCCTGCCTAAATGCTTTAGAGTTTCATCAACAACAAAAATCCTACCTAAATGCTTTAGGGTTTCATCATTTATAAAAATCCTGCCTAAATGCTTTTATGGTTTCATCAACAACAAAAATCCTACCTACTTGCCTTTAGGGTTTCATCATTTACTATAATCCTACCTAAATGCTTTAGGGTTTCATCATACATAAAAATACTACCCATATGCCTTGAGGCTTTCATCAAAAACAAAAATCCTACCTACATGCCTTTATGGT